CCTGCGAGCAACCCGAGGCGGGGCGCCGCCGCCGCCGCCGCCGCCGCCGCGTCGCTGCCGTCCACCTGCGACCCTCTGGCGGCAGCTGGGGGTGCCGCCGCCTCGAAAAACAGGTCCATAATCGCTGTTTTGCCGGAGCCGACGGATCCATGGATGTATAGCCCTTTGGGTGCTGGCGGCGGCGAGGGGCCGGGGCCGAGCTCGGCTGCGACGCGCGCGCGGCGCGCGCGGGCCAACTGGTGCGCGCGCTGCTGCGGCGTCAGCGCCGCCGCCAACGGCGGCGGCGCCGGCGGCCCCGCGGCGGCGGACGCGCGCAGCCCGAGTGCGCGGGCGATGCGGGACAGGGTGCCTTCCTGTGGCTGCTGCTGCTGCTGCTGCTGCTGCTGCTGCTGCTGCTCCTGGTCCCGTCTCAGCGCCTCTTCGTCTTCCACCTCGAGCTCCTGGAGACGCCGCCGCCTGCGCTCCTGTTGCACACCCCAACGTGAAAGCCGCCGGTTTTGTCGAAAGCCGACGGTTTTGTCGAAAGCGGCGCGCGGCTGCTTATTTCACGCAAGGCACGGGACTGGTCAGGCGTGCAGCGCGCGCTCTGCGCACGCCCCGCGCCATGCGTCATCCTGGGATTCCATGTGACACTCATCGCGCGACTCCGCATGACACCGCGCGGCTGCCGCTGCCCCGCACCTTGAAGGCCGCGAGCTCTTCCTTGTATCCCGCCATCGCGGCGCCGTAGTCATGCAGCTGGTCCAGCAGCGCCGCCAGCCGGGCAACAACGCCGCTCTGCCGCTCGTCCGGCCGCAGCGCGCCGCAGGACAAGAGGCCGTCGTACCGCCGCAGCAGCGCGTTCTCTCGCCGCGCCTGTACTGCTGCTGCTGCTGTGGTACCTAAAGCTGGGGCCGCCGCTGTTGAGGCATTGGTGGCGACTTGCTGTGCGGCGGCGATGCGTCCTGGGGCCCCGGCCACACCAGTGCTAAGGCCACGCGTATACACGCGCGCCAGCAGCCGTGAAAGTGCAGGACGCGTTGAATGTGACATCATTTACTGGCTAGAGTCGCTTCGGCATTGCAACGAGGATCATTGACACTTGAATGGCTGCATCGCGCACGCACGCGTGTGTCTACCGGTAAAATACGTGTATAGCTGATATAAAAGTCATACTGCAACTGCACTTGTTGCATCGTTGCCATCGCCCTTCCGCCGCCTGAATTTGCAGTGGTCTGCTACGCAGTGCTTGCAGGCATACTGCTCGGGCTGCGGCATTATGACGTGCTTTGCTGCTCGACTGCTGGCAGCAACGGTCGCAATGCAGCTTGACATGATCACTGGCCATCATGCCGCTGCTTTGAGCTAGCATTTATGTGATGTCATCCTGCATCAGACGTGTTCCCTCCTGCCCTTCACCGTATGCCATGCCGCGGTTTGACCGCCGCGCCACAGCGATGTTTACAGCCGCGGACATGTTTAGGGGCGGCAGTGGAACCGGCCCCAATCAGAGAGGCACAAAATATGGATGGTGGTGAGAGTCTGCAGCACAGGCGCGTGATTTCCCTCTCCCGTCGGCCCCCGCCCAGCCGCCTGATACTCTCTGCCACTCGCGCCCACACGTGCGGCGCCCCTCAGGACAAGACACTACCCACGACACGCGGCACGCTACGCAAAAAGGGGGCGACTGGGTCGATTTGGGCGGACGCACCAAAGACAACAGTACACGGTAAGAACGAGTTGGTTGGGCTGAGGCAAAGCCATGGTGACAACCAAGCCTCCCACCGCACGACCGCAGCAGGGAGGCGCAGGCGGCGCCTTCAAAAAGCTTCAGACAATAGGTCAGAGCCAGCCGGGTCGCGGCGTGCAGTGCAAGGCGGGGGCGCCAATCGCCCGTTGGCAGGCGGGTCGCTCCGCCGGGCGAGCGCCCAGCGCCGTCCGCAGGGGAGGCGGGCTTCGCCCCACCCCCGGAATCAAGGGGTCGGAGCGGCGGCGCCGCCGCGGGCAGGGGCGGCGCGCCCCAAGAACAGACATCAAGCCGCGCGGGCGCCGGCGCAGTCGCACACCCCTCAACAAAACCCCTCGCCCGCTGAGGCGGGCGACCGTAGAGCAGGTGGGGCAGGCGAGCACGTGTGCGCGCACGCGGTCAACGGGTGCTGTTCTAGCTGGGCAGCACCTTGCGCTGCAGGGCAAACAGGGGCTCCTCCTTCTCAGCGTCAAATGGCCTGCGGCAAGGGGAGGACGAGGTTGAGTAGAACGAGGTCAAGGAGAGCGTTCAGGCGGGCGGCAGCATAGGACACCCCTAATCCGTGGGCGCACTAAGCAACGGGACGTTTGAGCTGCTTATTGAAAATCACCCCATAAGTATGATGATACAAGCAGAGGTGGGGCTCGTGCGTCACTCGGGGCTCGTGCGTCACTCGGCAGCTGCCAGGCGAAAAAAGACAGCTGGGCCGTGGCACTCACTTGTAGTTCTTCTTCTCGTCGTACACGTGCAGCTCTGAGGTGGAATTCGGGATTGCACAGGGGACAGCAATTCAGGATTCCGCTCAGAGGCCAGGAGCGCGTGCAGCTGCGGTCCACGCACAGCTGCCCTGCCCCTACTGCCGGCCCCACTGCCACCCACGGAGCCGAATCAGAAAGCTACAATGGGGTCAGAAATCGGCCGCCATCTGAGGATGCAGGTGTGCCGGCCATCACAGCAACCCAGCGCGCTCCTCAGTGCCCCTTTGCACTCACCGGTGAAGATGGTCTTCATCATGCGCCAGTTGAAGGTGCAGCGGGTCATGTACTGCCCCCAGTTGGCCTTGAGGCTCTCGTTGGCCTTGCGCAGGTTGTACCTGGGGATTTAAATAAACGGTTTGGGACACAATTATGCGTCACAGTTTGCGAGGATAGCAGTACATTGCACCGAGGACGGCAGCAGGACAAGCCATCGAGGGCGCCGCCTCTCGCCTAGCACGCCGCGAGACAGCGCCGCCCGCGCGCGGCGAGGGGCCGCAAGGGGACAGGTGCCGCGGGGGCGCCGCCGAGGCGGCCCCAGCTGCTCGCGCGGCAACCCACGTCCGCGAAACAGCCGGCTGCAAGTGGCCCCTCCGCCCCCACACCGTAGCGCCAACGCTGCGAAGGAGCTGCCAGTAAGCAGGGTGCAAGGG